GTTGCGGGAGCCCGTGACCGGAATAGCAGGGGGCTGTGGGTCGGGATCGAGGGGTATTGGCAGCGTTGCGGGAGCCCGTGACCGGAATAGCAGGGGGCTGTGGGTCGGGATCGAGGGGTATTGGCAGCGTTGTAGGGGAGCCCGTGACCGGAATAGCAGGGGGCTGTGGGTCGGGATCGAGGGGTATCGGCAGCGCTGTTGAGGGAGCCCGTGACTGGAATAGCAGGGGGCTGTGGGTCGGGATCGAGGGGTATTGGCAGCGTTGTAGGGGAGCCCGTGACCGGAATAGCAGGGGGCTGTGGGTCGGGCTCGAGGGGTATTGGCAGCGCTGTGGGGGAGCCCGTGACTGGAATAGCAGGGGGCTGTGGGTCAGGATCGAGGGGTATTGGCAGCGCTGTGGGGGAGCCCATGACCGGAATAGCAGGGGAGCAGGTAACGTGATGAGGTCTGGGCTGATGCAATCGATGCCTGTGGGTTGTGGGGGAGGCCAGGAAGACGAGACTGGAAAAACAACGTGTGTCCCAGCTCATGAGTCAGGCCCAGTAAAACTCGTGGCTGATTTGGTAAAAATTCCCAGCAGCGTCACGGGTAAAGTATCGATTTTCCCGGAATAAGCGCAGCCACCACGTCGTCCCCAGACCGGAAGGAAGCAGGACCAGGCATCCGCGTGGGCTGATCTCACGCTCGCTGCGCCTCGTAGCTCGTTTTCCAAGCAGCGGTGCCACTAGCTATGGGCCTCGCCTGCAACCAGCTGCCGACCCCCTGTGAACTGGTGCCGTGGAGTGAGCCGCACGCAGCACGAGACCGGCGCACGCGGATGGCACTTCCTCCGCCCTGCTGTTGGGAAAGTCACGGGACAGGGCTAATGCTGCGCTTTCCGCGCAGGCCGTGAAATCGTGCTTTTCACAGGGCCCCCCTTGTGATTAAGGCATGTTGTGCAGAGCCCGGGGCAGGGATAGCCCTGGGCGTGCAGGGCGGGATTGGGAGGGGCCGGGGGGCGACTGTGTGCGGG